TTTTCTCCCACCTTCTAAATTCCTCTATTCTGGCCTAATAACCAAATTAACAGAGACAGATTAACAGGAGAACATCCAAGTTTACATGAGCCTGGAGAATTCATATAGGCATGATAATTCCACAAAAAGTCCAAAGCCAGTGAGGCAACATTAGGTATATAAGAAATTTTGGACAAAGGAGAAATGGAGGCATGGGGCATTAGATTTCATAAGTGAGACCATTCAATTTACAGGTAGCTGAGGAAGAGCTGAATACATGTGGCAGGAAAATCCTTGCTAGGTGACTCAGAAACTGGGCCAGGGGTAACCTAGGGCCCGTGGTCGGCAAACCGCGGCTCGCGAGCCACATGCGGCTCTTTGGCCCCTTGAGTGTGGCTCTTCCACAAAATACCATGTGTCAAATTGGACTAAAGTGAACATCCTAAGATCTCCTTCCTAAAGCAGGTTTCCCTGTCTGAATCTCTTGGGCAGGAAAGAGTATGTTTAGCAAAGGCTCTTTCTGAGTCTTTTGTTTCTTAAGAAACAGTTTAAAATCAATATCCCAAAAAACAGCTTCAGGGTGGTGGCAAAATTTTGGTCCCATCAGCAACATAGTGAAAACTCTTCTGAAATCATGTTTTTAATGGACAGTCCGAGTGTCTACAAACATTCCTGGGTTCAACCTGTGAAGGACACTTTTTATTGCCATGTAATATGTAATATAGAAAGTCCCACAACTAAAGAATGTGGATAATTTCTTCGATTTTGTTTTAACCCAATTCCTCTATATTAAAATGATCCATATCAGCCCTGATTTTATTTGCAGCTACAGGTATCCTTCATAGATGGAAAACTGCCCAGACAGCATGAAATATGACATGACTAGACTCCTGCTTGTTATATTCCCACTGCAGGGCACACAGTAGGTCCTCATTTGTGTTTTATAAATATGGAAGGTCTAGCACTCAGACAGTTAAAGAAGGCAAAGCGATTCTATGAGAACTTGCCACACTCACAGATAACACATTTAATATTTCTCCTTCAGAAGAGCAATTCAAATGGTATATGGGCTTTTAATAGTTCTGTAAAATCAACAATATATTTTAAAAGAAATATAACAAATAAATACATTTTTAAATTAAAAAATAGTTCTGTAAAATCAAAACACAGATGATCAACTTTAGTAAAAATCTTGGAACCTCTTGGTAACCGGCCGGGCGTGAATACACTGCCTCCTAGAGGACTAGGTACTGGCAACGTTGACCTTTATTACAGCAAGACTGGCCCCTGGTGGTGGTGAAGCAGATAGAATCACCATTCCGAGAGAAAACCAGATACACTATGCTCGCCTCCCATTTCTATGTTTTTCAGACCCCACTACTTGGGGGAGAATGTTAATTTTTTTAAAAATATATTTTGATTTTTTACAGAGAAGAAGGGAGAGGGATAGAGAGTTAGAAACATCGATGAGAGAGATCGACCAGCTGCCTCCTGCACGCCCCCCCACAGTGGGGATGTGCCCACAACCCAGGTACATGCCCTTGACCGGAATCGAACCTGGGACCCTTGAGTCCGCAGGCCGATGCTCTATCCACTGAGCCAAACCGGTTCGGAGTGAGAATGTTAATTTTTATTTTATTTATTTAAAATAACTATATATTTTTATTGATTTTAGAGTGGAAGGGAGAGGGAGCAATAGAAACATCAATGATGAGAATCATTGATTGGCTGCCTCCTGCCCGCCCCCGACTGAGGATCTAGTTCACAACCCAGGCATGTGTCCTGATGGGAATCAAACCTTCACCTCCTGGTTCATAGGTCAATGCTCAACCACTGAGCCACACCCATCGGGCAATTTTTATTTTAATCATTGGGTATATCCCCTTCCTAAGTGGGATAACAGACTTCTGTTTTTAACTTAAGCCAACTTTCCTAGAGCGATTTGTTCCTTATGACATAAAAAACTCCTTTTGATAAAACTTTTCTAAATCCCGCCAAATCAGAATAGTGCTAGACACATTGTAAAGCCTCCAATAAATACATGAATTAAAAATTTAAACTTAAAGTAAGAATAATTTAGCAGTATATTAAGTCTTTGGCACACTGATTCAGATTTCCTCATTAACATATTGTTTCAAACTGGGTAAACTTGAGTCAAACTGTTCAGAAATGCATATACCTTCCACAGTCCTTAAGTTTTAAAATCTGACTTTAAAATAAAAACCTAGAGTTCCTAGAAAAAAAATGTACTTAGAGCCACAGTGCTAGAAATAGGCTCTTGTACTTAATTACCTTTATATGATTGTACTCCTAAATATATTATGTATAATGCAAAATGTCACCAAGGACAGTCACCCACATTGCAGACAGTTTATATCATGTAAGTTTTAAATCTCGTTACATGGCAATCCCTCTAGAAACCCAGCACTTCCCTTTTATGGAAAAAACCAAAGCATCTAATTTTTTCAAGAATTTTGTAGAGACTTGCAATGGACTTTCTTACACAAATAGCATTTGCTTCTGACTAAACTGTCAGTGAAAATGAGTTACAGCTCTCTCAATTTCAGTGAGTCCATCTGTCTTACGTTATAAGTTTCAGATATACTTTGAAAGGTCACACTAAATAGCCACTTAATTCTTAGATACTTGTAATTCCATTTTCTTCCATAATTGGAATAAAAAGACACTGTTATACCTGTAAGGCACAAATTGCTACAGGGAGGTGAATTGTGCGGTCACATTTTACATCTGAGAGTCACTCTCAAATTCTGAGCTGGATTCTTTCTAATTATAAATTTCAGAGGTGGATTGTATAAAAACCTAATCTAAGCAGAAGCATTGGACAATTTCCTCTCCCATTTCCATGTAAAATCCAATTCATATTTCTGAGCTCAAAAGCCAAAAATAATCATATATATATATATCCCTAATATGCAAATAGACCAAACGGTGGAACAACCGAACAACCGGTCGCTATGACATGCGCTGACCACCAGGAAGCGTGTGCAGAACATATGCGCTGATCACCAGGGAGCATGCGCGGAACATGGTGGGTGTTGGCAGCAGGCGGAAGAGTGCAGAACATGGCGGGCATCAGCCATGGTGGAACGGTGGAGCAGGTGAGCGGGTGCGCTAGACCAAGGCGAGGTGCTGGTCGCTGTCATCGGGGCGAGCCTCTGGTGGTTACTGAAAATTCTTTGTTCCTGCGTGCTGCAGTCCCACCCAGCGCTCACACCTGCTGCCAGTGCCAGCCCTGCTTGTACCAAGGCCAGTGCCAGAGCCGCTGCTCGCACCCGCTGCCAGCGCCTAGTGCCAGCCCTGATCGCTCAGCACTGCCACCCCTGATCGCCCGAGGGCTTCTCCACCTTCCTCTGCTCCTGAGGGGCGATTGGGGCAGCAGGCCCTGCTCACACCCGCTGCTGGCATTGGCCCCAATCGCTCCATGTTGTCAGCAGGTACCAGCGGGCCGGTGCCGTCAGCACATGGGAGCAGCGGCAGCAGAAGTGGGGCTACCAGCAGACAGAGGACAAGGGGCTGTGGCAGGCAGGGCCGGGTGGGGATGCAGAGGATGGGCCAAGACCCGCCCCTGTACCCAGTACAGCCTCGCAGCCCAGAGTTCCGTTCAAGGTGCACGAATTCGTGCACTGGGCCCTTAGTGTATATATAATACATACAGGCATTTAAGATTTTATTCTTATTACATATTTGAATTCTGAAAGCTTTGTGGAATGTACCATAAACCTGAAAAATGTCTAGCATGGATCAATTACATGTCAAGTAAAACAAATTTTATTGGTGAAGCTGATAAACTATCATAACCACATAATCCACATTTTACTGCATTTATTTGGCTTTTATCACTGGACTATTTGTTGTGAAGACGAACATCTTCCTCAGTATATTTTCCATCTCGAATGTCACGGGTAGAGGTTGTCTTTTTATTAGCCTTATTTAACACCATGCATAGTAAATTCCAAGTATATTCAAGAACAATAGACTGAGTACAAACTGCTCAGACTACCAGTATCTGGGTTTTAACTAACGTCCTAGAGCAGAGAAGGGTATTTCTACAAAGGGAGACCATCAAATACAGCAAATGGCTCATTGTTGGGTGTTGTCCAGAAAGCAACCTGTTGAATTTTAAAGACAGGAGACTGGCTTTACCTTCCAGGGAGAGACTGGTTGGCTCCCCCAGTGACTAAATGCCTAATGCAAAACTTCCCTAAAGCATCAAACTCCTCTTTGGACTCTGTTTTTGGACTTTTACTAACTCAAAGAAAAATATATTTATGATTTGGTACAGGGGATAGTCTGGATAGTACTTTGATAACACTGCTTTTAACTCCATTTTGAGAAAGAGTTGAACTTAAGATAAAAATAACACCTGGGGGTGCACTGAGATCCAGGTAGAGAGGAGCAATGGGGGGCCAATAGGGGGTACATCTGTAATACTCTCAACAATAAAAATTTTTTTTAAAAGATAAAATAACAAACTCATGAAATCAGCCTTTGGTGGCTTTAGGCCCTAGAGCTTTCTGATAAGTTAATTAAGAAAAAAAAATAAAGGCACTTAAGATTTTATTATTTTTGTGAAGGGAAAGAAACAATAGAGTGGCAAATGTGGGAAACCAGACTCACACTTATTTACATATGGACACTAAGCTACAACTGAGAAAGGAGTTCTAGAACTTTACAATAGATCACTGTAGAACATAATTTGGGATTAATCTGTTCTGTTCAAATTTCCTTCAGTTTTAAAACTAGTTAAAATGCTCTGTGTTCAGCTGAATCTGTTTTTACTAATTTGTTTTCTAAGAAAAGAGATACATAGATGGGCAAGTTTAAAAATATACTGACTATGTTATGAGTGAATGACTATAATATGGCACCAGCACTACCAGAATGCTTTTGGAAGTACAGCAAAATCCCAAATCCTAAAATTCTCACTTTCCTTTTAGAACAAATTGTGATATATCTTAAACAAGGTTCTGATATGTTACATAATCAAAAACATTCCAATCTTGATGGGTATTAAACATTTTATTTAAAATTTTAAAGTAAAAAAAAAAAGGTACACAAATACAGACTACATTATGATGACCAAGGCAGTATTCTACATGGCAAAAGCAAAACAAAATTTTAAAAGTAAATGTATAAAGCAAAATACCTGATAGCCAATTCAGGCTGCGTCCACATAAAATGATCTGACCACATGCTTATACAAAATAAATTTTTTCTTAGAACACCAAAATTCCAACCATTCTGACTGTCAAATGCCTTTTTCCCCTGGTGAGTATTTTCAGAGAACTTTATATAATATAAAAAAGATTGACATGGCACTTAAAGACTACAAAATACAGAACACAATTAGAAACATATTTGTAATGCAATTCTGTATAAAATATACACAGTAAATCTTAGATTTTAAAAAAGGATTAAAAACTAAAGACCACCCTGAATAATGGCTAAAACCTCATCACAGAAAAATGCTTATCGTTTGCAACATTGATAGAAAACTGATGGGATTTTTTTTGAGATGATATCTAACTTGAGGAAGTCATTCATTCAAAATGTATTTAAAATAGTAGGTAAAACAGTACTCACTGCCTACCTCTACTCAAAATGTTTTATCATGAGTACTCTTTCTAATATTTAACCACAGGACAAAAATAAAAGAATGACTCAAAAGTTTCCTCAAAATATGTTCCAAAGACCCAACAGAATTCTAAGGTAGGCCCAGTAATGTGTTTTTAAACAAACTTATTCCACATTCTAAATTTTTAGAAATAATGCCCGAGGGGAAACAGCACCACTTAAAAGCAAGATCATAAACATATCATAAGATGTCAGAATTTCCTGTAAGTTTATGATTGAAGTGAATACTGCTTTTTTTTAAAAACAAGTTCCAGGTATTAAGAGAAACATGTATACCTCTTAAATAAACATGTGGATATAAACATTTTTCCTTTGAGGTTTTCATTGCTTTCAGACATAATTATTTAAAGAAAAGACTACATGGCCAGGCAGGCCCTGGCCGGTGTGGCTCAGTTGGTTGGAGCATCGTCCTGTGTGCCAAAAGGTGGTGGGTTCAATTCCCGGCAGGGCACATACCCAGGTTGCACATTTGATCCCCGGTCGGGGCACGTAAAGGGGAGCAACCGATAAGGGCACATACCCAGGTTGCACATTTGATCCCCGGTCGGGGCACGTAAAGGGGAGCAACCGATAAGTGTTGCTCTCTCACATTGATGTTTGTATGAGAGAGAGAAACTCTGTAGAATAATAATTTTAAAAAATCATAAAATAAAAAGAGTACATGGTCAGAAACTTTGGGAAAATTGTATTTCTAATGAAATGTAATATCCAAAAAAAGGAGATATTAAATGCCTACAAATTTTAAGTAATTCTAAGCTGAAGACTCAATAGCTTTCCCCAAAATTAAATTTTACTAAGATTGGGGAATTATAAGTAATTTAGATGATGGTGGTTACTTTTAGGTCCCTTTTCATTAAAAAAAAAAATTAAAATAACAGAAGGATGCTATCCCTGGCATCCCTTTACATAATACATTCCTAAACACTAATATTAATAAAACATAATCTGAAGAACTCTGCCTCTGAAATGTATTGTATTCTGTATTACGTGTGGTACCTACTTAACAAAAACTCGCTTAAGTGGTTGGGACTGTGATGTGAGTGTATGTGTGGGTCCTGAACACTTATTCATGTTTATTATTTTTCATGGATTTCACTGCAGACTCCATAAACAGGGTCCAAAAGTGTGGATAATGTGTTTTGGGGTAGGAAGTAAGTATGTTTGGAAGGTAAATTCTTTTCTTGTATACTAAATTATAAGGGCAAATAGTATACATTCCGTCTCCATTAGATAAATAGAATGCTTTTACAAGTTTTGTAATAAGTGCCTCCTTATTTAATCAAATCACAAAAGCAACTGTGAGATTTACTCTCCAATAAGAAATAAATATTACCATTGCACTTTTTTTATATATCCTTTAAATTTCTATTTTTCCTTCCTATATACTGAGAACTTTTCCATTCAACTACATCGTGGATCCTTTGAACTACATTTGTTAACATTCCAGCTAAAGTTCTGGCTAAAGGGACTAGCTCAGAAACTAACCCCTCATATACAAAAGAACTCAAAAACAGCTAATGATTTGGAATCTGATTCTTAATAAAATGTGCCTAACTTTTTCCTCAAGAAGAATCTGTATTCCCCAATTTTTAGCAAGTAATACCTTTTATTACCAGTCAACTTAACAATTGCTACCTTAAAAATCAGTAATTATCCAAGGCAATGATAAAATTTACAGCTGAATTTTTAAACACAAAGAATTCATACACTAACAGGTAATATATTTTGAATTAATCTTTTTATTCCAAAATTAAATACTTAAAAGTAAGTATGACAAAAATCACAGGGAGGCTTATGATGTAATACCACCACGTGCTTTAATGCAACAGACACTCTTTTTAAAAGCAGTGGTAAGTAGTTTCTTCAAAGGAAAAAGACAACTTTGTTACTCATCAGTAGGCTGCTAGACTACCAGTAAAACTGAATTTTGACACGATTGTCTGGAAACTAGTCTCTTTTTTTTCCATAGTTAAATTTATATGTAATAATTGACTCTTACAGTCAACAAATACAAGATATTGAGCGCTTTTTTGTAGTTGGCAAATATCAAATGGTTCATCATATCCAGGCTGGTAATGAGTTTTCCATGCATTAAATGGCAACACGAGCAAAATGCACAGTTGAGAAACGAGGATCAGACGCATTCTTCCGCAGACATCAAAAGAGGATTGATGTACTCAAAGCCTTCAAACTCAGACTGATCAATCTTCCTCACAATATCACTGTTGGGACAAAAGTAAATTAATTTCCATAATCAATATTTCTTCAACGTATTTAAATGGTAAAATAAGATTAAGAAACAAAAAATAAGGCTAATTTATGTTAATTATGGAAAGAAGTTTTACAAGTTTTTAGATTATCCCAAAATATTTTCTAGAAGAATCAAGAGTCCTGAAAAAAAACAAAACAGGTTAAAAGACTCGCAAGCAACTTTAGAATCAAAAGGTAACCCAAACTGAAGACTGAGATTTAAAAAGGCACAAGTTATCACAATTCTAGTTCATCTTAACTTTTGACCTGAACAACATTCATAGTTACAGGTAAACATCCAGGTCTGAATTAGGCTTTCAATTTAGTAGTCACCTCAATAGCCAGATGGAATATATGGTGAAGAGAAGGCCCAGAGACGTTAACCAGAAGGAAAAGGCAATAGGAACAAGTACACTGAGAGACCTGGAATGAAGGGAGAACGCCACGGACAGGCAATGGGTCACGGGGGAGGGAGAGGTTGACATTCAGTTACACTGGGCTTCTAGTTAATATATGAGGAGTGAGTAGTACTAGCGAATATTTTAATACTTCAATGTACACATCTTACTGCAAAGCACAAAGTTACACAGGATATAGTTTCTGTCCTTCAAGGAGGGAAGGTACCTTATAGAACAGAAAGCTACAAGAGAAAGCAGAACCTGCTAAGTTTCAAATAGGACAAGCTAAGTCCTGTGATAAACACATTTCTAAAGAAAAGTGTGGTACTTGCTTCAGCAGCACATATACTAAAATCAGGAGGGTCCAGGGGAGATGCGCATGGCCTCTGTGTAAGAATGACATGCAAATTTGTGAAGCGTTCACATTTTTTGAGAAGTACAGATTGGCAGTTACAGAACAGTCATGGGGATGTGAGTACAGCAGGGAAATATGGTCAATAATATTGTGGTAACTATGTATGGTGCCGGTTGTCTAGCCTTTGCTGTACACCTGAAACTGATACAAATGATACTGAATGTAAACTGTAATTTAAAATTTTTTAAAAAATCAAAAAAGCAAAACAAAATAAAAGGGTGACTTCTAGTTAGAGAAATTTAAAAAAAAAGAAGCATTCATTTAGCAAACACTTACTGGATGAAATTATGAAAGATTATGCTAGGTCTGGGGAAATGAAAGTAATTTTATTAGAGTTGGAGCACGGGAATAGAAGAAGGGTATTAATGTGGCAGATGATACTGGGAGGGAAGTAATGGCTAGCTCAGAGAATCTAGTGATGTTTACACTATGGAGTTTCACCTTGATCCATCCAAGACTGGGTTGCATTTGAGAAAGCTCTGAAAGATGGAGAAGATTTCAATAGATGAAAATTAAGGAAGAACATAGAGGAAATGGCATGAGTAAAGGTTAGCAGCACACTATCAGGGAATGGTGAGGCTAGAAAGTTAGGCTGGAGCAGATGGTGGGAGGCCTTAAATGCTAGCCAAGAGGATAGATGTTATTTGCTAGGCAATGCGGGAGCTGTTAAAGGTTTCTGGAGTGGCACCTCATGAGGTGTACAGAGTGGGATGCAAAGTAAAGGAGTCCATTTAGGAAGGTGGCATAATATTCTAGGTATGATTTGAAAGAGATTTGAATTGGGTTTATGGTAATGCAAATGAAAAAGAAAGATGTGATGCAAATGATGAAGTAAAGGAAAAACAGACATGGACTTGGCAGATGAAGGTATCATATAGGTTTTTAATGAAAAGGAGGAATCAATGATCCTAATACTCTGAATCCGAGTGCAGGAATGCACAGTGCTGCAATGAGCAAAAAAGGCAAATAAAAACAAGGAATCACTGAGAACAGAAAAAGAGACCCTAAAGAGTCATTACTTTGATTTCAGACTTCATATGTCTGAGGTGCTTGTCTGACAAGCTTGGGAGGTGCTGAACAAGCGAATGGAAATGCAGCTCAGGATAGATACCAGGGCGGTGGCTAGGTTTAGAAACCATCATTCATTTATTCTTAACAGCAACCTTGTGAGGTAGGCAATACAAGAAGAAACAGGTTCAGAGAAGTTATGCAATTCACACCCAGGTTACCCAGATGGTAAGAGGTGGCGTCTGAATTCAAATTCCTATCTTTTGATTAAACCCAGTGCTCTTTCTAAAACACGATGCTGTCTGAAATAATGACTTTGGTACATATGTATCTCTTTCTTTTAATAGACAGTAAGTTTTTTTTGCAAAATTGGCCTAAGTTTTGATCAGTTTTGAATGTCTAGTACTTAGCATAGTGCCTCTGCTCAATAATTGTTGGCCAAGTTAGCTGGGAGTCCTTTTTAATAGCTGGTATCCATGCTACGGGGCTGGCTGACATCTCCAAGATACAAACTGCATACAGCAAAGAGAAGGCTGGCGTGAACAGAACCATGAAGCACCCTAGTCTCAAGGAGGGGACAAGGGAAGAAAGGTGACAAGTGGTCACAGAGGTGAAGCAGAACCAGGATGGGTAGTGCCAACCAAAGCAAGGCCATGAGTGCCAAATGCTTTACGGACATCAGGGGACATTGGAACTGATCAAAACATGCCTTAAAATTTAGAAAGTAAGAAGTCAATTCAACCTTCAAAAGCTGAAGGAGCAGGTTAAATTGTGTTTTTGAAGTGTTGGCAGTAAGAAAGTGCAATCAATGTTGACTATTATGAAGGCATTCGATAGAGATACTGCTTATTTTTCCTTTACCATGAGCATCTATTAACTATCTTTGAAAAAGCTTGCAGATGAAAAGAAAATAAGAAAAGAATGTGGTGGTTCAAAGAAGTGCTAAGATTCAGGAGAAAAAAATTAGGATATCTGAGCATGTTTATAGGCAGAGGGAAAGAAGCTGAAAGAAAGAAATTAAAGAAGGTGGAGTAATGGAGGCAACTGAGTAAATAAGATCCTGGAGGAAAATAAGGGAACAGGTCTAGGAAAATAGGAGAGCACCCCTTGCAAAGACAGATAGCTTTCCAAGAATGGGGAAGAAGAAATAGGTTGAGAAGAGTTAGAAAGCAATTCTGAGATGCAAGCACCCTAATGACAGCTGAAAAGGGAGCAAGCTCACAACAGGGAGGTCTTGATCCGTGCAGTCAAGTTAAGGCAGAGTTAAACCATGAAGAGTGATGGAGGCAGGGCTAAAATGTACAGACATTGGAACAGCTGCAATGAGGAATGTGATAAGAATTAACAAGACATAAATGTCTGCCGAGCTGTCAGAGCCTCCTTGAGACGAGAGAATGAATCTGTAATGACAGGTAAAGGATCAAAACATCCCCAAATTATTCCAAAGCCTATTTTTACAATATGTAACACGAACACAAAAAAAATATATGAGCCCTAACTGGTTTGGCTCAATGGATAGAGCGTCAGCCTACGGACTCAAGGGTCCCAGGTTCGATTCCAGTCCAGGGCATGTACCTTGGCTGCAGGCACCTACCCAGTAGGGAGTGTGCAGGAGGCAGCTGATCGATGTTTCTCTCTCATCGATGTTTCTAACTCTCTATCCCTCTCCCTTCCTCTCTGTAAAAAAAATCAATAAAATATATTTTAAAAAATATATGAGATCACTGTTGGCTGGACGTGATAATTTGATGTAGTATTTTTAAAAAGCAATCTGGCAATACACATCAAGAGCTTTAAAATTCAGACCCCTTGATCTAATTCCCTTTCTAGGAATCTATCTAAGGTCATACTCAGGAACTCGAAGATAGTCATCATCAAAATGAAAAACAGTGCAGCGCAGTGGAAACAGCACAGGCCGTAGCCACTCATATTTGGGTCTGAATCCTGGCTCTGCCCCTCACATCGGAGTAACTTATGCTTAACCTCTCTGAGCCTCCGTTTCCTCATCTGTAAAACGAAGATGATAATAACTAGGTTTACAAGGTTGTGAGAATGAGAGAGAATGCATGTCAGTCAAAGTAGAAAATGCCCATTATTGTCATAATTTATAGTAATATAATAGATTCAACACCCAGTAACTCAGTGGTTAGATAAATTATAGTGTAATCTGATCATGAAACATTATATAGCCACTCAAAGTGGGACCGTCAAAGAACTCCGACGCTATTTCCGTCTATGGAATTACTTACTCATCATCTGGAGTGAGCTGGACAGGTTCATTAGTAAACTGAGAATCAAAGTTGTCCAAACCAAATTCCCCAGAAATATTTGGTTTAAAGGGAGGTACCACCTGCTTTTGCTCCATCTAGAAAGACAGATTGGATGACAGTTCAAGCCTGCATTCTTGGAAAAATCCCCCTCTACATTCCTCCTCTGCCCTCAGAGGTTTCCCAGTCTTATTAAAGTGAGTCCCCAGGTAAGGCGCCACAACACCATTCAGAGTGAGGGAAGTAATTCACAAATCTGAGCAGCGGTGCAGGTCTCAATATTACAATCTGTTCCACGTTAGAGAGAGGTTTTAAGTAATTTAGGCTGTGATACACTCGTTTTTCAACATTCTTTCAAGGTAATAAAATTTGGCCCAAGTTAATGATGAAACCCAACACAGAAAACAATCACAATTTACATACCATATCCCAGTCAACATTTCGGAAGAACGGGTGTCCCTGAATATCAGCAAATCCTGTTTGAGGATGACAACCCAATCGTTCCTTTGGGTCCTACGATGGAAAGAAATGTTTCAAAAATGGGTGAATATCAGGCTTTAGAATACATGAACTTTGTGACCTGTGTTCTGTGTCTACTATATGACACCTTTATTTCTGAAATCAGAATGGTCTACCTTTCCTTTCTAGAAGGTACAACACGAGGTTCAAATGAGTATCTGAAGCTTGTGACAAGTAAGATTTCCTGACGGCTCTTTCTCCAGCTGTCATGTAATTAAAGTGAAGCTGCAACCACCCATGCTAAAGAGAAATGGGAGGAAAAATAGAGCAGCAGAATAATTTGAGCAGCATTCAGCTATGTCTTTGCCATGGGTTACAGTGACAAGTCAAATTTTGCAAACCCCCAAACTTCACAAGTTTGTTCTTAGCTCAATTTAGAAGCTCTATGCCCAATTACAGCAACAACCTATAATTTGTGTACAATAATGATACAACCTTTATCTGAATCACTGGACTGAGAAGGGGCCTATAACTTAGCTTATTCATTACTGTGAAATGAAAACATGTTCCCAGCCCCCAGTCCCCCAATAAAAGGCATTTTATTTTGCATATTAACACCTCTGACCTTCACTTTTCACTGTGTTACCGTTTAGGTTTCTAGTTTAAAACTTTCCTCATATAAAGCACTCACTCTACATAATAAAAGGTTAATATGCAAATTGTCCCCTCGGGAGTTCGACTGACCGACCGGGAGTTCAACCCGGGAGTTCAACCGCTCGCATGACATGCACTGAGCACCAGGGGGTGGCGCAAAATGAAGGAAGGCCCCAACCGGCAGCCGGCAGCCAGGGGAAGGAAGGCCCTGATTGCCTAGAAACCCTACCTATGCACAAATTTTATGCACCAGGCCTCTAGTTTAAAATAAGCTTCAATTTCTTATTTTATTAAAAGTCATCATTATCTTATCCATTTATCTTAGAAGGCAAATGCACATTAACCTACAATTTGATTTGATTGCCAAGATCATTGTAACACAATAAGAAGTATATATTTGGTCTTTGCCCCTGGTTGGACCCAAAGTTTCTAAAACCCTTTTAACTTCCTGAGTGACAGGAGTGTCTTTTGTTATTCATAACAAGTCCCTTTCAATAATTCCTGAATTTACCCTAATAGGGTGACTCTTGGTGGGCCTCTAGATAGCTTCAGGATGGGGTCTGATCGCCAGAGGAACCAACCATGCAATTAAAGGGTTGGGACTTTCAGCCCAATTTCCAGAGGGACTAGAAATTGAGCTCAATCACCAATGGCCAATGATATAATCAATCAGGCTTATGTGAAGGCACCTCCATAAAAATCTCTGTATCATGGGGGTCACAGAGCTTCTGGCTGGTGAACATGTCTATGTGCCAGGAGGTGGCACACCCCAACGCCACAGAAACAGAGCTCCTGTGCTCAGGACCCTTCTGGACCGCACCTCTTCGTCTGGTGGCTCCTTTGTAATCTTTGTAATACACCAGTGATAGTAAGTCAATGTTTTCCTGGTTTTCTGTGAGCCATTCTAGCAAATTATTGAAACTAAAGTGTGTGTGGGGGGAGGGAGGGGGGCCCCCAATTTTATAGCAAGTCAGACAGAAGGGGTACCCGATACTTGTGACTGGCCTCTGAAGTGAGGGCAGTCTAGTGGAATTGAGTCCTTACACCTGTGGAGTCTGATGCTAACTCCAGGTAGTTAGTGTCAGAAATGAAGTGAAATATAGGACACATAGTTGGTATCTGGAGAATTGGTTGTTGGTGTGGAAAAAAAACCTATACACTTGGTGTTATAAATGTTATCAGTAAGAACAGTTCAGAATCGTAACTTTAAATAGATCCTAAAACTATAGCCTACCATCTACAACAAACAACTGAATGCATTCAGATTTGTTAAGAGCGAAGAAGATTCATTTCTTCTGAATGTTATCTAATCATAGGGTTTTTGACATGGGAATTTGTAGAGAACACGACTGCCCCAAGTGCTCAATAAGTAAAGAGATTCTATGAATATGAATCCAAAGAAAATTGAAAATAAGAGCAGAAAGTATAATTAAGACCATCCCCAAAGATGTAATTTTTCCTTAATTGAGTACACGGTATGTATCATTTACATTGAAAATAACATATGTAATATACAGCTGGGAGTAAATTATGTTGGCAAATGGAAAGTACAGTTCATCTCAGTATCTAATGTTGTCAAATTACTCTTTGGCGAAGAGACAAATTCCAGATGTAACTGAAAAAATTACATCCTCTGATATTTTGGAATTTTACATTGCTTGATCCTCTACTTACCAGTCTCATTTATATAGAGATAAACCACTAAAGATTTTTTATACAGGATTTATACCTTGTTGAGAAAACTCTTCAGGACACTTGCAGCTTTTACAGACAGAGAACGTGGTATTCGAATTTGTTTTTCCAAAATAACTAGAAAGATAAAATAATGGCATTATATTTAACTTTTACATGGCTTTCATCTTTACATTTTTATTATGAGATATTCAAGGCATTTTAGCAGAAAAAAATAAAACATTACATAGATTGCTTAAACGTCTCTGTGTACTTTCCCAGCCCCATTCCTCTCTGTTTTTAATCATTTACATGCCTGTTTTATCTTTGACTACCTTATTGTGCCTTAGTTTCCTCATCTGTAAAACTGGTAAAAATAATACCTGCTTCATAGGTTTGTTATGAGGTGTAAATGAGTTAATATCTGGAAAATGTGTGGCACATATTACTGTTTTGGATTTGACTGGACATTGCCAAATTATTTTTCAAAGATGTGTCGATTTCACTCCCGCCAGCAGTCTATGAAGAATTCCAGCTGCTCCACATTCTCACCAGCACCGGTATTAACAACACTTTAAATTTTTTGCCAAATGTATGGGGTATGAAAGAGTAGTTCATTAATGTTTTTTTTTTTTTTTTTTTTTTTTTTAAATATATTTTATTGATTTTTTACAGAGAGAAAGGGAGAGGGATAGAGAGTTAGAAACATCGATGAGAGAGAAGCATCGATCAACTGCCTCCTGCACACTCCCTACTGGGGATGTGCCTGCAACCAAGGTACATGCCCTTGACCGGAATTGAACCTGGGACCCTTGAGTCCACAGGCCGACGCTCTATCCACTGAGCCAAACTGGTTAGGGCATTAATGTTTTAATGTGCATACCCTAACCACTAGTGAGGTTGGACATCTTTCCACATATTCCATGGCCTTTGGGATTTGCTATTATATGAAATATTTATTCCTATTGTGAGTCTTTAATTATTAAATGTAGAATTTTATGGCAGTCTTCCCACTTCTTTAGACTGTGTGGTGAGGGTCTGTGCTTATCTGCTTGTTTCTGTTCTGTTCAACTCTTTGTATTTCCAATTGTGGGGCTTTTATCTTCACCTTTTGATACCTCTTATCTTCTTGGTACTCTACTTTTTCCCATATTGTTCTTGAACTTATGTACTTGGCCTCGGGTTCATGTGAAAAGACTGTCCTCTCTAACCACAGGATTTCTTCCCCCAATCTCTGTTTGCAATATACAATCTGAAGGAAACTGTTTTTGAGAATGAGACGGTAACTGGCAAATGGAAATGGACACTACAGAGGTAGAAAAGATGTATAAAAGAAGTCAAAGCCTCACACATGAAGGAAGACATTCTCGAGATTATTTTCTCCTTCCTTTTTTTTAAATCGATTTTTAGAGAAAGAGGAAGGGAAAGGGAGAGAGAGAGAAACATCGATGTGAGATCAAAACAACCATCAGCTGCCTCCTACACAGTCCCTACTGGGGATCGAGCCATCAGCCCAGGTAATGTGCCCTGTCCGGAACCAAACTGGCAACACTTTGGTACACAGGACGACTCCTAACTAAGCCACACCGGCCAGGGCTGTTTTCCTCTTTCTTACCTTGGAAGAGATAGTCCTCTGTGTTTTGATCAGGGTTATCAGAGCTCCCAACGATATCAAATGGAGACCTTCCTGCCATCATCTCAAACATTAGTACTCCAAGAGCCCACCAGTCAACACTGAAACCTTCAATAGAGAAATTTTTAATTATCCAATCTGCATTCTTAAACGTCATTAATTTGAGGTTCATTTTATTACATAATAAAAAATAAACATAATGAGAACGTAAACTCTAGATGCATTATAACCATCGTGGTAGGCATAGAGGATTGCAAGCATATTTCACTTATCAACCAGGGGAGGTACCTGAGAGATAACTTTAAAAATAAACTATAAAAAAATAACACATTCAGTTTCTTTCCCTAAATAAATGTGTAATTTCAGACTCATAGCCTGTATCTAATATTTTGTTCTGTTGACATAATTAAATTGCATTTGAGAATAACTTTCCTGGGTCTAAAACTTGATCTTCTGCTCGCTGATTAAAGATTCTTGAAGAACCTTGGAACCAGATTATGAGCAGCTGTCAGAAGTACATCCTCCTTTACATCTGCTGAAACGAAAGGTCCAGAACCAAGGCAGTCATGCTTTCTTAAGATAAAGCACGTCTTAAAGATATCCCAGGAAATCTGAACAATCTTCCAGAGGCTGTTCTGGAGTCATATGGATGATGTTTAAATCCCTACTCTGCCACTTCCCAGTGGTATGACCTTGAGGAGGTTACTTAAACTTTCTACACATTAGTTTCCTCGTCTGTGAAATGGGAATTAACAGTGTTTATGTCATATGATTGAGAGCATTAACTTAGGTAATATATATAAACTGCTTAGAATAGTGCCTAGTAACCTTTAGTGCTTGTCACTAATAAAATATCATTCAAATGTGTACCCCCAAATACTGTCAAAGTTCCACTGTCTCCAATTTCACAGTTTGGGCTTTAATGTAGATTTTAAGGGGATCAAGATAGCTTATACTAATAAGATCAACATCAAAATACTATAGCGTACTATAATGCAATTTGTACCACATCTAACCACTCTTTTAGCACATAGCTAAAATACCACCTATTAACTTATTACCATAATCTTCTCCTCTTAAAATTTCAGGAGCAATGTAATTTGGAGTACCACAGAAAGTGCTTGTTGTATCTCCTGGCCGTAATCCTTCCTTTTATAAAAAAGAAAAAAAGAGAAACAATAAGACCTAAAATTTCATTTTAAATTCACCTCTTTTAATTCACCTATAGAAGCTCAGCATCTGTTCAGCTTAAATAAAATATCACTAGCACAGTTGCCTTTCACATTAAAATCATGGATTGAAATAGCTCAAAGAAAATCTGTCCTCATTAGATGTTGATAAAAAATCAGTTCAATTACGATAAAAATTGCATTTAAAATAATTTATATTCAAGTTAAATTTAATAGAAAAAGTTAAATTATATTAGAGTAAAAGGAATTATATTTTATGAAGAAAAGAAGCACTTTAACCTTGCTTCCTAATATAACCACAGCTGGCATTATGATGTTTCTCTCTGGTTGTTCCTAGGGCATAAGTTTTTTTGGTTTGTATTTTAATAGCTGCGGGATGGAGAAAATTAAGACAAAACCTAGTTATCTGTATAAAAAGAGAAACTACACAATAACAAATGGAGCAATCACCAAGAAGTTATAACAAACTATGTATGTGCCTAACAATACAGCCTCAAAATACAAAGAATAGAAATAGACAAAAGTATTAGCATTTCACAATCCCTGCTATGGACTGAATGTTTGTGTGCCTCCAAATTCATATGTTGAAGCCCTAATGTGATAGGGGAAGTGGAGCCTTTGGAAGGTAATTAGGTCGTGAGTTTAGAGCCCCCAGGATGGGATTAGTGTCCTTGTAAAAAGGGAAAGACAGCTAGCCCTGCTCCCCACGCCATGGAGGATGCACTAAGAAGACAGCCATCTGTAAATGATGAAGAGTGCTGGCACCTTGACCTTGGACTTCCCAGCCTCCAGAAACATGAGAAACGAATGCTTGTTTTTGAAGCCACCTTGTTTTGAAGCAGCCCAAACTGATAATACAATCCCTAATCACAACAGGTGATTGTCACACATTTATAAAAATAACTAGAGGCCTGTTGCACGAAATTTATGTATTTGTGAGGGGGGGCGGGGCGGGGCCCTCAGCCCAGCCTGCACCCTCTCGCAGTCCGGGAGCCCTCGGGGGATGTCCTTATAAAAAGGGAAAAGGACATACTTAGTGCCGCTGCTGAGGCGGGAGAGGCTCCTGCCCCCACTGCTGCGCTTGCCAGCCATGAGCCCGGCTTCTGGCTGAGTGGCGCTGCCCCCATGGTAGCGCACTGACCACCAGGGAACAGCTCCTGCATTGAGCGTCTGCCCCCTGGTGGTCAGTGCATATCATAGCGACCAGTCATTCAGCTGTAGGGCTGAAACCGGCTCTCCGACATCCCCCGAGGGATCCTGGATTGCGAGAGGGTGCAGGCCAGGCTGAGGGACCCCACCAGTACACGATCGGGGCCAGGGAGGTTGGCCAGCCAGGAGGGGCCGTGGGAGGGCTCCAGGGCATTCCAGCCCAGCTTGTTCAGTCCGGATCGGCCGGACCCCAGCAGCAAGCTAACCTACCGGTCGGAGCATCTGTCCCCTGGTGATCAGTGCATGTCATAGCAACTGGTGGACCAGTTAACTGTCTGCCCCCTGGTGGTCAGTGCACATCATAGCGAGCAGTTGAGCGGCCTTAGCATATCATTAGCATATTACGCTTTGATTGGTTGAACAAACAACCAGATGACTGGACACTTAGCATATTAGGCTTTAATTATATAGGATGATAGATTATACGGACAAAAAATTAGTAAGCACAGAAAGATTTGGACAAAAGCTAGAGCTAAAAAATATATAAATTATGTATATAGAGAATATGTCTACCTATGTTTCTGTGTGGAGAAAGGAAGAAGGAGGGAGAGAGAGTATGTGTGAGACTCCTTGCTTGCAAAATGGAGATTATATATCCTTTTTAAGTACACGTGAGATACTGACCAAATACTAAGTCATAAAGGAGGTCACGGTTCGATTCCCGGTGAGGACACATGCCCTGGTTGTGGGCTTGATGCCCAGTAGGGGGCATGTAGGAGGCAGCCGATCAATGATTCTCTCTCATCGTTGATGTTTCTATCTCTCTCTCCCTTCTTCTCTGAGATCAATAAAAGTATATTTAAAAAACAAGCAAGATTTTTTTAAATGAAATCAACAAGATAGTTAAATATACAATTAAGCATCTGCTTCTTTTACTTTAGAAGCATGTAATTCCCTATGTAATTACAGACTTCTTATTGTTAATGACTACATAAAATTCAACTGAATGTATGTACCTAGAATGTAACCATTTCCCAATGGTAAATTATATGGTAAAAATTCCAAATAAAAAAAAGGGGGAGGGAGATATACATTGAAAAATCAAGCCTTCTTCACATTCCTGTCCCTGACACATCTTGCTCCAGCTCCCTAGAGGCAACCACTGTTATGAGGTTCTAGATGTGTCCCTCCTAAGATATTTTAGACATAGTGTGTGTATTTTTCTTTAAATTTTCCTCTATAAGCTATAACACTTCTATAAACATCTGGAAGAAATATTTAGTAATATGTTGTGACTCTAAAGATTATTTTGTGATTCCTCATAGGGATATATAAGCTATTCTGTACATGAAGAAATATGACTGTGACTTAAGTTGTTTTGTACTATTGGCAATGACTTGACATATCGTTTACTGATAAATGACATTCACTTTCAGGGCAAAAGTCAGAGGCAAGGGATGCAGTCTGTTAACCTGTAACAGAGCTATGCTAAATCATTCACTTGTTGACTGAATTATCTAAACGCAGGCCCATCAGCTAAATTATCTACAGCATAACAGAGATGTTACTATTAAAATTCCCCTGCTGATAAATCCTATATAATAAAAGGCTAATATGCAAATCGACCGAATGGCGGAACAACCGGTTGCTATGACGTGCACTGACCACCAGGGGGCAGCCGCTCAATGCAGGAGCTGCCTCCTGGTGGTCAGTGCGCTCCTACAGGGGGAGTGCAGCTCAACCAGAAGCGGGGCTCATGGCTGGCAAGCGCAGTGGCGGTGGCGGGAGCCTCTTCCGCCTCCTCAGCAGCGCTAAGAATGTCCGACTGACATCCCCTGAGGGCTCCTAGACTGCGAGAGGGCACAAGTCAGGCTGAGGGCCTCCCTACCCCCTGCCAAGTGCATGATTTCGTGCACCGGGCCTCTAGTAAGTAAATAATTCATAAAATAGTCAAAGTTTTTCAGTCCATAAAAATCAATGTTCACAAAATATTTCAAACATAAGCCTGAAGATATTAATTCAAGTTTTCATATGCCTCTAGTCATCACTTTTCTAAGCACTCTTTATATAAAAGCATCAGTGAGAAAGTGAAGCGATTGATTAAATTAATTAAACCTAAAGGAAGTATTTCGGTAGAAACTACAGAAAATTGTTTTAGTATTTTAGATTTCCCAAGGAATTGTTACAAGAAAAAGAAATTCATCCAATATTTGCCAGCGGTCTGACTTTAGGAAAGTTTAAATACTGACTCTAAGTCATAAAACAAGAACATTCTATTTCCTGGGGATTCATTTCACATTTTGTGAAAAAAGACTGAACCTTTAAGCAAAACAGTGTTACAAAAAGAATAAAACACCAAAAAATGAAGGGCATGTCCTGAGAATGAACTGTACTTTATGTCAGATATTTAAAATTTAAATATAAAAAGAGATAAATTTCCTAGGAAAATTTTAAATGCATTATTGAGAATTACAATTAAATGGCAAAAACTGGAACGTGATATGCAAGTAGTTGTGTTAACATTGAGGGACTGTAGGTAATTTTTATCTTCAAAATTTTAATAATATCACAACTTTCAAAAAAAGGTTACAGAGCATAGTAGAAATTAACGCATTATAGGACATATAACACAGAAAATATGGAATTTTGTAAATGGTTAGAAAAAAGTACAGGGTAGGGCAAAAGTAAGTTTACAGTTGTTCATATGGAAAATAATAAATAAAAGAATAAACTGTGTTTTACATATTCACAACTGTAAATCTACTTTTGCCCCACCCTGTGTACTTGTTTTTGTGCTACAATTCCAATAAGTATCCTAAACAAAGTAGTAATCATTTCTTCATCTTTAAGTATGAAGTTATTTTACCAAAACAATCTTAGCAGCACCTGAAAGCTTTCGAATAACTAGAATTTTCCCTCACCTTACACATGCCGTAGTCAGTGAGTTTAATGTGTCCTTCTGAGTCCAGCAATACATTGTCCAATTTCAAATCTCTATAAATTATCCCTCGTTCATGAAGGTAATTTAATGCTAGACTGATTTCTGCAGAGTAAAATCTAAAATAAAATGAAAAAACTCATTTGATTCAAGTTTTAAAACTGTAAATTTCTAGAGGAAGATATCTAAGTCATACTCCTGTCTGCAAATTAAAACATCAAAATCATGTTAAAAGATTTTTTTCCTCTGGGTTTTTAGGAACAATACCAAACACAAATTAAAGTACCACTTTAAAACATCTGAACCCAAAACGTAATTATAAAAGATCCAGTATAGATCAAACTCATTAAGTTATCAATTTGAAAGTCTCAAACAGGGGTTGTTAACCTAGATGGACCTCAGGCAGTCCATGCTCCCACAACTGGGGTAAAGTGTAAGTACCTGTGCACACGTATGCACATCTTCTACAGAGTTGCCATCACTTCTCTAAAGGACCAGTGACCTCACAAAATGCTAAGACCCACTGATTCGTGTAGAATAGAAAGAACACTAAAAGTCTATCACTGAAACCATAAAATCCATACCAAAATGCCTAGAGCCCTGACCGGTTTGGCTCAGTGGATAGAGCGTCGGCCTGAGGACTGAAGGGTCCCAGGTTTGATTCTGGTCAAGGGCATGTACCTTGGTTGCAGGCACATCCCCAGTGGGGAGTGTGCAGGAGGCAGCTGATCGGTGTTTCTTTCTCATCGATGATTCTAACTCTCTATCCCTCTCCCTTCCTCTCTGTAAAAAATCAATAAAATATATATTTTTAAAAATGCCTAGAAAAGGAATTGAAAGAAATTATTCTGCAACCATAAAATATTTAATATTAAAGAAAGAAGTTTTAAAATTGTCACCAACTCATTGGTGATAACCATAACTTTTGACCTGACTAATGAAAATGAATACCAAGCTGGTTTATGGCTGCTTAGATGAAGAGCATCACAATCTTGTTTGGAGATACGAAATATATACCTTCTAGCTACTTAATTCTATGAATAGGGAACTTGAGCCTTTAGTCTGTACTTTGGTTCTAGAAAAGCAAAGATGGTAAAAAAAAAAAAAATTGGAACTTTAATACAATAAACTGGACTACTTTCCCCATGTCCCACTGAACAAACCAGAAACAAATACTGGGTATGTATTCACAAAATAAAATATCATCCATGGCTTTGCTACTGAAGGGCCACCATTTGATAAAGCCTAAATAAACACTAAACATACAGTAAACAAAAGAAAGAGCAATTTGGCCCTGAGGTTAGTTGATATAATTTATAGCTTCTTATAAAATTGAAGGATATCTCTTTTTGACAATAAAAATTAATGAACTAGCAAGATTTTCACTAAATAAATTATTTTAAAAAAATAAAATCTCTAACCTTTGTTACCAACGTGTACAAACTCACAGGCTTCATTTTTTTAAGTTACTCTTATGAAACACAAAAGAGTGAGAATTACTGCTAATTATGAGTAAAAATCAAACCATGGCACTGATGAACTAAACTTCTTATCCAAGGCCATGATCCTTCCCCACCTAACTCTTCCAATATAGAAACAATTTACAATCTTGTATAATAATATTAAAGAAAGGGCACTAAATAGATAATATTTAATGCTCTTTGTTCTTATTCATCAACACGTACGGAACCACAGGAAAAAAGCCAACATCAGACCAATTCAAAAATTATAATTACAAGAATAGTCAGGCATGTATAATAGCTTAAGAGAATAACTGTTTTATTACTCTCAAGTATATCTATATATATAAAAGGCTAATATTCTAAGTGTCCGACCTTTCGACTGTTCAACCAGTAGCTATGATGCACCCTGACCACCAGGAGGCAGACACTCAATGCATAGGCATGAAAACATGGAACAGACTGATGAATCTCAGAGGGAAGGGGGTAGGGGAAGGCGGGAAGAGATTAACCAAAGATCTTATATGCACACTAGAGGCCCGGTGCACAAATTTGTGCACCAGTGGGATTCCTTGGCCTGGCCTGTGGGGATCGGGCCGAATCTGTGCACCAGGCCTCCAACATCCTCCGAGGGGTCCTGGATTGCAAGAGGGCACAGGCCAGGCCAAGGGACCCCACCAGTGCATGAATCCGTGCACTGGACCTCTAGTATGAATAATAATCGTCTAATGAAAAACTGTCAGAGATCACTGCAAACCTGATAAGATTAATAAGTATTTGTAAATTCAATTATTTCAGAGGCTGATGCTAAAATATTTTAAAGCAATTTGGTTTAGTTGACTAAAGGTTTCCCCTCTAATACTGTTTATACTTTTCAAAAGCTTATAATTATATTATTACATACTATATAATGGTATATATTGTAATATATTATAATGCAAAATAACTTTTAGCTTAGTTCCCATGACTTACAAAGAATTAACTAGTATCGAAATCAATTTATCTACTGTTTTCAACCACTGGCATATAAAATTCCCACAGCTGCTCCCCAAAATCCCAACACAAACAATAATCAAGAAATTTACCTGGCATGTTCTTCAGGAAGTTTTCTTTGTCTCTGCATATGAAACATTAGATCTCCTCCATTTACATACTCTATGACAAAGAACAATCTAAAACATAGGAGAGAACACATGAAAGCAAGGTCCAAAAGAAGGAAATATAACTGAGCATTTTAAACATTGTAGAGACCAGTCACAACATAAAGAGCATTCTGTGATTTACCCTGTACAAAAATCCCAGGAATTTGGTGGAAACAAAGGGTGGTTGTAGTAGAAAGCTGTTAATCACAGTAGATACAAGAAAGTAAACCAGCATGATAGTAATTCTGTAACCTGCTACTTCTGTAGTACCAATTGCAATCCAGACCCTCCCACTCCCACCCCAATTCTAACGTTAGGGTGATATGTCACTTCAACTGTCCCTTAAGGTAAAGAAGTTAGGATTTCTCCCCCTAGTTAAACTCTGGGAAACTTTAAATCTAAAGCTAAAACCTTAGGGATATTTAAAAGTATGGATTTCTACTGCCATATTTCGACCATATATATAAATTCATCTTTATGGTTGAAAGTATTACAGATGTCCCCTTTTTTCCCCCCACTGTCTCCCTCTACATTCCTCACACACCCCCCGCTGCCCCCCGGCCCTGACCAGGCTATATTTTTTAAGCAGATAATTTCTTCATGCTAATCCAAACAGATATCACTGATTGGTGTTCAGGTATCAGGAAATCATAAGCATCATACTGTTGTGTCTGTCTCCATGACTTCCGCTTCAGGATTTATAGTATGAAGAGTTCTTATTGTGTAATATGCAAAGTATGTAAAGCCCGTAATCACTCCATTATCTTCCAACCTTACCTGCTTTCTGTCTGAAAGCAAGAATGCAGCCCAACAAGAAAAGGATGATTGGATGCCTGCTCAAAAACATGCTTCTCTGTCTGTACCCAGTCAATATCCTATTTTAAAATATGAAAGAAATATTTACCAAACTGAAATATCATCAAACTATATTTGTTCTTGGCAATTCAATGATCACAAATGCAATTATTAACTAACTATGCTAAATATCAAAGAATGAATAATCATGGAACAACAATTTATATGCAAAGAGAAAAAAAATACTCCCAGTAAATATTTCAATATTATGAAATGGTTTAGAAAACTTTTTCAAAGCTCAATCAAGTACTTTCCCTTGATCATAATATGGTTTGATTTTTATTTTTCAAAAACCTAATAACCATCAGATTTCTTTAAAAATATTTTATATAACCCATTTGAGGCATTATTTAGAAAAATAGACTGAAGTAAGTAAGTCATAAACATTGAGGTTTTCTCTGAAATGGTACAGTTAAGTCAATTTAACAGTTTAGAAGTAATAAAACATTGTGCTTACCTCATCATCATTGACAAGCTCTTTTTTCACAACTTTCATTGCATAGATACGATCTGTTTTTTTTAATCGCACCAACAGTACTTTGGCATAACTTCCTCTTCCTATTACCCGGAGCAAATCAAAATCCTGAAGACCTAGACTGGATGATGCTTTGCCACTTTCCCTGCTGTTCATTGCCTGTTGAGAACATTTATATCAGTTATAACTGGCCCTAGCAGGGGCTTAGTGGTTACAGCTTCGTCCTGAGGACTGAAGAGTCATGGGTTCAATTCCAGTTAAGGGCAGGTACCTTGGCTGCAGGCTTGATCCCCAGCCCCCAGAGAGGGCACATGTGTGAGGCAACCAATTGATGTTTCTCACTCCCCAACACCCCACTTCCACTCTCTCTAAAAAAAAAATCAATAGAAAAAATATCCTTGCATGAGGATTAACAACTAAAAAAGAGTTATAACTGGAAGTATTTTAAATAAATATGATATTTCTAACACCTAGTTATAGCTATGACTATTTTAAAAATATTTTATTTAAGTTCTTAACAATTCTTTTCTAACATCATTCCAAACGATGCAATCTAACTACTCAAGAAGTGGGACAAATTCACGAGTTGAGGTCAGAGGGGTGGTAACAGCAACGGAGAGGGAGTTGAAACCTGAGAAATGCTAAAGGATGTCTTTAAAAGGATCTGGTAAGCCCTAGCTGGTTTGGCTCAGTGAATAGAGTGTCAGCCTGTGGACTGGGGGAGTCCCGGGTTTGATTCCAGTCAAGGGCACATACCCAGGTTGTGGGCTGGATCCCCAGTGGGGGGTGTGCAGGAGGCATCCAATCAATGATTCTCTCTCATCAGTGATATTTCTATCTCTCTCTTCCTCTCTGAAATCAATTTTAAAAAAAAGGCTCTGGTAAAACTTTGGGATATAATGGAGCTGCACGAATAAAATGATACTAACCTTGGTGACAGGGAGAGTGGAGGTGCACTGACAGAAAATGTAAGTGTGAGCATGAAATAAGATAATGAGCTTGGGTTTTCATTTTGTAGTTAGAAGTTATAATGGGACAGCAAGATGAACGAGTCTGCTGGAAGTCTGATATATGAAATCTGAGCCAATGAAAGGACACATTCAGAAACACTGGGAACTATAAGCAGAAAACAAGCATGAGGCAGTTCAGCTACTAGAAAACCTTCTTTTCTACACAACACCAAGGCTCCCTTGGCATGACAATAAGAGCCTTATAAATCATTCAAAACTAGAAACGTAGGCTTCTGGTCATTTATAGAGAAGACTGAAGATGATCTTTTATTAGATAGCTGCAAAATTCTCAGCATACAATCAACAGATGTACCCATGAGAATTAAGTATGAATTTTCTGAAGTGAAGAGAATCAAGAAGAGCAAATAGTAAATTTTGAGAAAGATAAACAAGTAAGCACTGTGTGTGTGTGTGTGTGTGTATGTATGTAATGAAAACTTTTTTAAAAGATTAAAAAGAAGGATCACACATCAAAATTTAGAATAATCTGAATTGGTAAAATGAATAAATAAAGAGGAGTAAAGAAAAACCAGATTAGGTCAGATTAAGAAAGCAGAGAATAGTTAGAAGCAAAGCAATGTACAGACTTCATATGGCTGACAGTAAACTATAAAAGAGAGTCAAATGGACGTAAGCACTAACTGGGGAGACTGAGTGAAGCTACAGGAGCCAGAACACAAGAGCATTACCTTCAAAGGGCCTCACCCCAACTCCTGCTAACCTACGACTTTATATTCTGCAAAAATGCCTTCAAAAAAGAAGTGAAGCCCCAACCGGTTTGGCTCAGTGGACAGAGCGTCGGCCTGCGGACTCAAGGGTCCCGGGTTCGATTCCGGTCAAGGGCATGTACCTTGGTTGCGGGCACATCCCCAGTGGGGAGTGTGCAGGAGGCAGCTGATCGATGTTTCCCTCTCATCGATGTTTCTGACTCTCTGTCCCTCTCCCTTCCTCTCTGTAAAAAAATAAATAAAATATTTTTTTTTAAAAAAAGAAGTGAAATAAAAACCTTTTCAGATGAACATTAACTAAGGATATCTATCCATCACTAGTCAGCTCTCTCTAAAGGAAACACTGAATTCTTCAAGAAAGATGATCTCATATGGGAGGGAAGACATGCAGGAAGGAATGTAGAAAAAAAGAATAAAATATAGATTAAACCTAAATAAGGATTGACTGCGCGCGCGCACACACATACACACATTTTTAAATGTGACAAAAACAGCACCAAAGGCAGAAAGGGAGGGTAAGTAAATTTAATGTATTTTAAGGTCCTTGTATATGATGGGAAATGGTAAAAGTATAACTAGTAATTGTTATTGAATTTAAATAAGTTAAGGATGTAAGATGCAATCCCTAGAACAACCAGTAATAGACTGGCAAAACAATGTCAAACGGATTCTGGTCAGGATGGTGGAGTAGTTAAGCACTGTGCTCACCTCCTCCCACATCAAAATTACAACTAAAAAATAGAGCAATCCACCTGGAGAACCACCTGAAGACTAGCTGAACGGAGCTGCTCTGACTAAGGATATAAAGAAGAGGCCACATAAGACCTGAAGGAAGGGCAGAGACTCAAAACAGGCTGGCCCCACACCCACATGTGGCAGCTGAGAATCAGGGGGGATAGCCTAGCAGCAGAGGTCCGACCCTCTTAGGAGCGAGGGGCCCCAGCCCCACACCAGCTCCGATCCCAGGAATCCAGTGCCAGGAAGAGTAGTCCCTGCAACAGCTGGATGTGAAACCAGCAGCAATTCCGTCCCAGCAGAGTGAGATGGAGGGCAGCTGGAAACCCAGGTGTCCTCTTAAAGGGCCCATGCACAGACTCACTTGCTCACAGGCACTCACCCTGAGCTCCAGCAAAGGGTAAGCAGCTCGAAAGGCACCAGAGACATTCTGGGAAAGACTGAGTTGTGTGTCTTCAAGGCCAAAGCCCCACTGGGCCCCCCTCACAGAGCCTCCAGGGGCAGGCAAGTGCCAAATCTGAATCTGCATTAAACAGGTAAACACCACTCACCTACTCCTGGTGACTCACTGAGATCCCGACCCACCCAACTCTGTGGGGATTCCTTCCAGGTCAGACAGAAGGCTGCTCAAAGCCCAGCAGTCCTCTTAAAGGGCCGGCACAGAGACTCAATCGCTCACAGGCAGTCACCCTGAGCTTCCACAAAGGGCCAGCAGCTCACACGGCACAAGACATACGGGGAGAAAGTGAATTGTATGGCTTTGGGGTGAGGGCCACCACTGTCCCTGTGCTGAACCCTCCCCTAACACAGCCTTTGGAGCAGCGGTTCTCAACCTGTGGGTCGCGACTCCTTTGGCGGTCGAACGACCCTTTCACAGGGGTCGTCTAAGACCATCCTGCATATCAGATATTTACATTACGATTCATAACAGTAGCAACATTACAGTTATGAAGTAGCAACGAAAATAATTTTATGGTTGGGTCACAACATGAGGAACTGTATTTAAAGGGCCAGAAGGTTGAGAACCACTGCTTTAGAGGTAGGTGGGCACCAAATCTGAATCTGCATTAACCTGGTGAAGAATGCTTGCCCCACAATGGTGACACCTTAAGACCCTACTCCACCCAACTCACACACTGCCTTGGCTCTTTCAGTGGCTGTGCCTCATAGGCAACCTCAGCTCCCACCAAGAGCTTTCTTAAAAAATCCCCCAAGGTCTGCAGGTCCCAGGCAGGTGGTGGTTACCCTTGGTATGCCCTGTGCCTTGGTAGCCAACCTCAGGTTACACCTTGCCCTCTTCCACAGACCTCTGGGCCCAGCACACATAGCTGCCAACCTCAGATCACTTTGTAGCTCTACCAGGTGTCCCTGGGCTGGGCATAGGTAGCAGATGACCTCCGCCTGCACCAAAGCCCCTTACAACAGGCTCCAGAACCAACACGCCCACTGGCCAGCCTAAGACCACAACAGAGCACCAACCAATTAGTTCCAAAAATGGCACATACCAAGCGTGGTCTCAGCAGGCACCACAGCCCCGCTGGGGTGAATATCGCTGTGGTTGTGGCCATTCCTCACAGCCACTCAGCCTGAGGGTCAGCCATACCCACTGACAAACAAACAGCAATCCAGGCTCAACTACAATGGGAAGGCACGACAATCCACACAAGGGATATCCTGGAGCATCCAACTCAGGTGGCCAGGAAGACTATCACTGTTACCCACAGGACAACTACTACAGAAGGCTATCCTGCCAGGTCTGGACAACATGGCTGATCTACCTAGTACCCAAAACTAAACACGGAGAGGTAGCCAAAATGAGGAGACAAAAAAACATACCCCAAATGAAAGTACAGGAGAAAACGCCAGAAAAATAGTTAAATCAAATAGAGGCAAGAAATCTACCAGGTACAGAGTTCAATGAACTTAGAGGAAGAATAGATAAACTAAGTGAGAACTTCAACAAAGAGAGAGTAAACATAAAAAAGGACATGGGTACCATAAAAAAAAATCATAAATGAAGAATCCAATACCTGAAATAAAGAATATGCTAGAAGAATCAACAGTAGGTTAGATAAAGCAGAAGATCAAATCAGTGACTTGGAAGACAAGTCAGTGGAAAACACCCAATCAGAACAGGAAAAAGAGGAAAAGAATTTTTTAAAATGAGGACAGTTTAAGAGACCTCTGGAACATCAACTGTACCAACATTTGCATCATGGGGTAACTAGAATGAGAAGAGAGAGAGCAAGGATTGAAAACTGATTTGATAAAATAATGATTGGAAACTTCCTTAACAGGTGAAATGGATACACAAATCCAGGAGGCACAGAGTCCCAAACAAGACGAACCTCAAAAGGCCTACAACAAGACACATTATAATCAAAACGCCGAAGACTGAAGACAAAGAGAAACTATTAAAAGCAGCAAGAGAAAAGCAGTTAGTTACCTACAAGGAGCTCCCGTAGACTGTCAGTTGATTTCTCAACAAAAACTTTATAGGTCAGAAGGAACTGGCATAAAATATTCAAAGCAATGAAAAACAAGGACCTACAATCAAAATTACTCTACCCAGCATAGCTATCATTTAAAAATCAAAGGAGAGATGATGAGCTTCCCAGATAAGAAAAAGCTAAAGGACATCACCAAACCAGTATTTCAAGAAATGTTAAAGGGACTTCTTTAAGAAAAAAAGAAAAAGAAATATGAATAACAAAATGACAATAACTATATACCTATCAACAATCACTTTAAGTGTAAATGGATTAAATGCTCCAATCAAAGGACACAGGGTGGCTCAATGGATCAGAAACAAGACCCATACATATGCTGTCTACAAGAGACTCATTTCAGATCAAAAGGCACACACAGATAGAATATAAAGGGATGGACAAAGATATTTCATGCAAATGGAAATAAACAAAAAAGCTGGGGTAGCAATACTTCTATTACACAAAATAGACTTTAAAACAAAGGCTCTAACAAGAGACAAAGAAGGACAATACATAATAGTAAAGAGATCAACCCAGCAAGAAGATATCACCCTGTAAACATTTACACACCCAATTAGGGGCACCTACATTCATAAAGCAAATATTAATGGAAGTATAGGGTCAGATCGACAGCAATTATTGGAGACTTTAACACCCACTGGCAAATATGGATACATCATCCAGACAAAATTAAGAAGGAAATAGCATGAAATAAGCCAGTCAATGAAAGAAAAATACCACATGATCTCACTTATTTATGGATAATTAAGACCATTATAAACTGATGAACAAAAATAGATACAGAGGCAGAGCAACATCGAACAGACTGTCAAACTACAGCAGGAAGGCCAGGGAGGGTTGGGGGGATGGGTAAGAGATCAACCAAAGGACTTGTATGCATGCATATAAGCATAACCAATGGACACAAGACACTGGGGGGTATGGGAGGCTAGGGGAAGGTCAAGGGGAGGGGAAAAAAAGGAGAGAGAAAAAAAAAAAGAAGGAAATAGCAACCTTAAATGACATATTAGACCAAATAGATGTAATTGATATTTTTAGAACATTTCACCCCAAAGCAGCAGAATATACATTCTTTTTAAGCACTCAGAGAACATTTCCCATGACAGACCACATATTAGGTCACAAACAAGTCTTCATAAATTTCAGAAGATTAAAATAATTTTAAGCATCTTTTCTGACTGTAGTGGTATGAAACTAGAAATCAATTACAAGAAAATAACTGGAAAATACACAAAAACATGGAGACTAAACAATGAATGAGTTAACAACAAGATCAAGGAAGAAATCAAAAGATACCTGTGACAAATGAAATGAAAACACAACCCCAAAATCTATGGGACACAGTGAAAGCAGTCCTAAGAGGGAAATTCATAGAAATGCAAGCCTACCTCAAGAAACAAGAAAAGGCTCTCCCTCCCAGAAACACACCCATGCCTTTCCCTTTTCCCATCCCCTCCCCCTCCCTGCTCCAGGCATGTCACCACTAGCTTCCTCACTCCCAAGCTCCAACAGCCTTTCCTTTATCTCCATAACTTGTTTCCTAAATCCATTTCTTCTAGGAATTACTTCTCCTGCCTCTTTGATTTACCAAATAAATGTTCTCTTACAGTTTGGGTCTTCTTGGTTCTGAATTCTTTCCTAGCCAGAACCCAAGTACCAAAAAAACTCAAGTTAAAAAAAAAAAAAAAAAAAAAGACAGAAACAAGAAAAATCTAAGCAAGTCAATTTGTCATATTTTTACACTGTCAAGTCTTATTAAAAGGGTAATGGCATGGCACAGCCAGTTTGGCTCAGTGGATAGAGCATCAGCCCACAAGCTGAAGGGTTCTAGATTCTATTCCAGTCTAGGGCATGTACCTCCATTGCAGGTGCAATCCCCAGGCCTGGTCCAGGTGCATGAGGGAGGCAACCAATCAATGTGTGTCTCTCTCACATCAATGTTTCTCTCTCTGTGTCTCTCCCCCTCCCTTCCACTCTCTCTAAAAATCAATGGAAGTATATCCTCGGTGAGGATTTAAAAAAAAAGCTCATGGCATAATGTACAATAAGACTAATTAACCTTCAATAAACTAACATGAACAACTATTTTAAACATTTTTATTAAAAAAACAACTACTTTTAAACATATTTATTTTTTTAAAAAAAGACTAATTAACTTACCTCCTTTTCTTCACCAACTTGGTCCAAACTCTCATGACTTGAAGGATTATATGGAATGACTAAAACCCAATCCCAAACATAAAAAAAAAGAGAAAAACAGCATCCATTAAGCTCAGTTTGACTTAAAATTTTCATTTGATTTGATTATTTTAGTTTTTCTTTCTGGTCTTGATCATTTAAAATTAAGTAGCTGTCTTACTAATAACAAAGTGTATATAAATATGAATTAAATCCTAATCTTTAATGAGGGTAAAGGAGAGCAAAAACCAATCAGTAACCAAGTGCTGATTTTACCAAATATTTTTGCTATTTTAAAAATATTTTCCTTCTTTACAAATTAATCAATTTCTCTATAAAGGTGACTCTTCAAACCCATTTGATTATGTTAGTAGGAGTGAGGCATGGAAGCAGGGGGCTCTGGCTCTCATTCCTCACTTCTTTCATACTTAAAATGCTCCTAACTACTGCACCACATAGGTGAAGTAAAGAACTGACAAGACTGTACTCTAGGCTTCTATTCCTTGAAGCCACTTGGATGAAAAAAAAAAAAAAAGCCTACATTTCATATAACCAGCTTCTGCTATGAACAAGAGACTATATTCTGTCCTTTCAGAAAAAGTCCTTGCTTTGCCTTCATTGATTCATCCCCTATTAGGCTTCTCTATCTCTTTAATTGCTCCTTAAACTTCCCAGATACACATTTGAGGTTTGTATCTACTTCACATTTGAATTCACATGATCTTTTTTGAATTTTTATACTGCATCTCTGTATCTTTTACATACTTTCTACTTCTGATAATAAAGCTTTTAATAAAAACAGGTCACTTTAACAGAGTCACCATGGCCCACAAAATCAGTATGTTTTCATTACTGAAAAAAAAAAAAAAAAAAACTAGGTTTGCTGAATTTAAAGGGGTCTTAAACAAAATTAATCTAAATTAGAGAAAATAGTCATTTGTTGTAATTTACATATGTCTTTTTAAAATGTCAAATGTATGTTAAATATTGTGATGATATTACCACCATAAAATATGGTTACCTCGCTTTTATGTGGGTAGAACAGAAATGTTTTTAAACTTAGGTGCAAGAATCACTTAAAGAAGTCTTTGAACAATATTTTGTTAATGAACAATAATTCATGACAGTGTCATTTTTACCTGTTTGTGCATGGTCTGAGTGCATGGATGATGGATCCATGGGCATCATTGGTTCCTAGAAACATTTCCAAAGAAACAGCAACTTAGTGGATTCTTTTTAAATCCCAATAACTCTATAAATTCTGGAGCATTATTTTAATGAGACACATCATATTAACACATAAATTTGACAAAATATAACTTATAATGAGAACTATATTACTATATTTAATTTGCTTTTAATTTTACTATCTGACACCATATAATATTCCTGTAAATGAGGTAATGTCACATTTTACAGATAACAGAAGGAACACACAAAACTACTTTCAGGCCATCAAATAGAAATAAAAATTATTCTCCTATATATTCTGATTTCTCTTATATACTACCTAATCTTTCAAGCTCCATATACACTTTAAGTCTCTGGGAGGAGTCTCTAGTATTTGACTTCTTTAGCTGAGGCCCAGAGATGGATTTCAAGATGTCTATACACCTCTTGAAATTCCATGTAAAATTTTGTGGGAAGGTGTCAGTGAACCAAAAAAGGAAAAGAAATACCCCCTAGAAATTGACTTAACCACTGTCAATAACCTAAGATAATACTAATTCAAACCAAAATGTTACTAATTCTTTAATCTTGGACCCAGATTTAATGAATACCAGCAAGAAAAGGTGAACCTGAGAAGGAACATTAATTATACATTTATCATTTAAGGCTGCCTTAAAGATAGGGCTCATGAATTTCTTACTGCATTTAGCACCTATTCTAAATATAATCACTAACCCTGTCCCTCTTGTTGTTTTTTTTTTCCATTCATAAATTCACACAAGTCATCCTAGGAATACGCACACAAATATCAATAGTAACCTGGAGAAATTATGTTCATACTTTTTGGCCTTCTGTTTTTCCTTAAGATTGGATTTTTACCTCCGTAACTTGTACAAACCCACATCTAAGCTTATATGAACCAGCTACATAATTCTAACACCAAAGAGACACCGCTAATAATCTTTGTTCAAAGAAGGTACTATGAGTAAACATGGTATAATCGTTCTAGAAGACAATTTAGAAGGAGGCATCCAGATCTTTTTAAATACACATATTCTTTAACCCAATAATTCTTCTTCTTAAGATTTATTCACCAGTAAGTTCATTATGATTTTCTTCATAGGAAAATTTAGAAAACAACTCCACTGTTCAATCATGAAGAACAGGTTAAAAAAAATTATGGTACTGACATATAACAAAATATTATGCTAAAAGTGATGAGGAGATAGATAGCTAAATATAGAAAGATGACAAAAATATATTACTCAGTAAGAAAAATGGGTTAGAAAACATTACCCATATGATTTCACTTTTGTTAAAAAGCATGTAAAAGAATGAGACATCCAAACATATGTGCCTTCTGATGGATAAACACTCCACCTTTGATAAAGTAGTCTCAAAAATAACCCACAAAAATAAAACCCAAGCCTACTATCTAATCAAACCTCTAGATCCAACTATAATATACAGAAAATAAAGAGGAAAGAGGAATATTTTTAAACAATACCATGAAAAAAATTAAGCAAAACTAAATGACAATACAGTTTCTTCTACACTTAAATTGTAAGGGGGCGGGGGGGAGGGGAAGAGAGTGAGCAAGAGTGAGAGAGCAACACACACAGAAGGGGAGAGAGAGGGAGATAAAGAGAGAGCAATCGGTATATTTAAAAATAGGGAAGACGTATCAATCAATTGCAAATATGGGCTTCATTTGGATCCTGATTCATAATGAAAATTGTAAAAACAAAACATTTATGAGACAACTGAAAATATGAACATTGCCTGGATGGATATCTGACATAAGGAATTTGGTTTTTAGTTTTTAAAAAGAATCTTTATTGTTAGAGGTACAATCTGAAACATGTCTGGAATTTGTTTCAACATAACACAGGGTTAAATTGGCCGGGGTATAGATGAAACAAGACTGGTTGTGCATTAATAACTGTTGGAGCTGGGTGATTGGTATTATGGAAGTTCATTACATGGTTCCAGCTACCCTTAATATATGTTTAAATTTTTTCTACATGGAAAAATTTTAAATGTTTATACATATAAATCTTTATGGAAAGATATACACAAATGACCTTTAGATGGTAGATTTCATGGGGAATTTTTATTTAATTTTTCTTTATTCATCTGTATTCTCTATTTTTTTCTATAATGAACATGTTTTTATTGCATATTTAAAAAAGAAAGTGAAGCCCTAGCTCAGTGATGGCGAACCTATAACATGCGTGTCAGAGGTGACATGCGAACTCATTTTTTTGGTTGATTTTTCTTTGTTAAATGGCATTTAAATATATAAAATAAATATCAAAAATATAAATCTGTTTTACTATGGTTGCAAATATCAAAAAATTTCTATATGTGACACGGCACCAGAGTAAGTTAGGGTTTTTCAAAATGCTGACACGCCTAGCACAAAAGGTTCGCCATCACTGCCCTAGCTGGTTTGGCTCAGTGGATAGAGTGTCAGCCAAAGAGTCCCGGGTTCGATTCCAGTCAAAGGTTTGAGTCAGTTGCAGGTTCCTCCCTGGCCCAGGCCCTGGCCAGGGCATGTGCAGGAGGCAACCAATTGGTGTGTTTCTCTCACATCTATATTTTTCTCTGCCTTTCCCTATCTCTTCCACTTTCTCTAAAATCAATGGAAAAATATCCTCAAGTGAGGATTTAAAAAAGAAAGTGAAAAATAGCCCTAGCCAGTTGGCTCAGTGGATAGAGCGTCGGCCTGCGGACTGAAGGGTCCCGGGTTTGATTCTGGTCAAGGGCACATGCCTGGGATGCAGGCTCGATCTCTAGTAGGGGGTGTGTAGGAGGCAGCCAATCAATGATTCTCTCTCATCATTGATGTTTCTATCTCTCTCTCCTCCCTTCCTCTCTGAAATAAATAAAAATATATTCAAAGAAACAAAAGAAAGTGAAAAATAAAAATTTTAAAAGCAAAACTCTCCAATTAATCTGATACTTTAAATAGCAAACGTGAAGACTGTTCTTACCTGATCTGTGCTTAGTGTCCATGCTCGAGTAATGGAAGCTATCAACTAATGAGGTCAGCTTAAAGAAGAGAGCCCTAACCAGTTTGGCTCAGTGGATAGAGCATCGGCCTGCGAACTCAAGGGTCCCAGGTTCAATTCCGGTCAAGGGCATGTACCTTGGTTGCGGGCACATACCCAGTAGGGAGTGTGCAGGAGGTAGCTGATCGATGTTTCTCTCTCATCGATGTTTCTAACTCTCTATCCCTCTCCCTTCCTCTCTGTAAAAAATCAATAAAATATATTTTTTTAAAAAAAGAGAAAAGAATCTCTTAAATGCTTCTCCCTATATCTTCCTACTTTAGACCAGAGGATTTTATATCAGGCTAAACATAAAACTATAACCTACAAACAAATTTGTAATGACAATTCCCAAATTCACAATATGTGAGCTGACTGTAAAATATTCCTACCCACATTCTATAACAACACTGTTGAGTTGTGATTCCTTCACCGCCCCCCCCCACACACACACACTTTAGACCTCTGTTCTAGTAACATTATAAAAAATGCTCTATTAAAAATAAAGAAGACAACTGTGTCTTACCGGTGGTAAAGAATGTCGCCCACATTCAATTGTGACAAGTTTGTGGCACTTCTTATGAACCAGGAGTTTGCAGTTGATGCATTTATATCCCTGGCGTCCAAGTCCCCATATCCGGTCAGTACAGATGGCACAGTGGGCACGCTGGAAAGAGTAATTCGAAAGAATTCAGTGAAACAGCAAAAAAAAAAAGTCATAATCATTCCCCAACAGTTTGTTCATAAAATAGAGAAAATAAGTGGCTTTCTTCTCTAATTCAGTTCTCTTCATCATACCAAACTTTTTCAAAGCTATTATGATGGTCTGGGGAAAATAAACAGAAAAGAGAGTTTGTTTTAAAGAGACAGTGAGTCCTGGCCCATGTGGCTCAATTGGTTGGGTGTTGTCCCGTGCACTGAAGGGTTGCCTTTTTGATTCCAGGTGAGGGCACATGCCTGGGCTACGGGCTTGCTCCCCAGTAGGGGGCATGCAAGAGACAGCAGATGGATGTTTCATTCTCACATCAATGTTTCTCTCTCCCCCTTCCTCTCTCTCTAAAAATTAATTTAAAAAACTGTTTAAAGAGAGAGTGAAATTTGCAACATGTTGTTTTCTGTTATAAGTCCAAGACTTTTCAGTCTTCATATAATTAGGTTTAGATTTATGAAAATAGGAAAAGTGAGTAAACTTGGAAAACATATGGCAGAAAATACGGTACAAGGACTCTCGATCAAAAATAAACCTTCCAGACTGTTCAGAGGTCAAACCAAAGCCCTGCTCTCTTAAAGAGCAATACCTAAAGTGACTTTTCATTTTATAGCTTTTTTGTTGTTGTTAATATATTTTTATTGATTTTATAGAGAGAGGAAGGGAGAGGGAGAAAAAGAGAGAAGAACATCAATCAGCTTTCTCCCGTACATACCCCAACACACAACCTGGGTACGTGCCCTGACCAGGATCAAACCAACGACCTTTTGGTGCATAGCGCTAAAGCTCAACCAACTGAGTCAGATCAGCCAGGGTCAAAGCTTTTTAATTATCAGTGGTACCTTGGGTGGTGACTTCTATTTACATTAATGAATTCGGAACATGGCACCAGTTTTAAAATGGAAACAGGAGTCCATTGTTTTATAGTTATCAAGAATAGTTAAAAATGTGAACTTGTGGAGATAAAATGTTTTCAAACCCTGGCTCTGCAACTTCCTAGCTTTCTCATCTTGGGCAAGTTATTTAAATGCCCCACCCCTGTTTCTTCATCTATAAAATGGAAATATATAGTACCTATCTCACAAGATTGTGGTAAGGATTAAATGAATTAGTATATGTCAAGCATTTGGAAAAGTGCCTGAAACATAGTAAAAGCTAGAGAAGTGTTTGCAATTATTTTCTAAACAGTGAAAATTAAAATTACAATATTAAATGATTTGCAAAATAAAACTTGTTTATTTTATGAGTATCTGGAGTTATATTTAAAAATACAACATTCTGGATAAGGACACATATGTAATACCTTAATCAATAAAGAAAAAAAAATTTTTTAAATACAACATTCTTATAGCTAGGGTAACCATATAACTAATCATCAAATCAGGAACATTTTTAAGAGTGACAAGAGATTCTATTAAAAATTACATCAAGAAAACAGGTGTACTGCATAAACTGGGAATGTTAGGCAGCCTTACTCCTTTAAAGGGGAATAACAAGACTACCTTTCTTTCATAATAGAGAGGGGAAAATAGATTTCTCAAATTATCAACATTCAACAAACTAAGGTTTACCCTGTTGAAACGCTTGGCTTGAAAAGTGTGGCCATTTGCACAATAAAGCTTTCTCCAGCGGCGTGCACCTCTGCGGTAGATGGACTCTGAAAAAAGATTGAGAGTTTAAAAAAGAGCAAGTGTGTATAAAAATCATTATTATAATTAAGTCTGTTATTTTTTTCATGATATTGATAGCAAGAAAATAATTTATATCGATAAAAACCTGAAAGTGAAAAAAATAAACTGGATTCATCAAGGGACTTGATGAAAATATAGCCCATGGAATATAAATGGCTCAGTAACTATCATTACTTTTCTGTTTTTGCAATAAACACCTGCATCCTTCACCAAGATTTACCAATTACTAACATTTTATTTTGACACAGTATATGTACTACCTAAGCAAGCACTTGCTTTCCTCTCTATTTACACATACACTTCCTCCTGAATCACTTAAAGGTAAGTTGCAGATATCCTTAACACTTCACCCTTAAACTCCCATTGCCTAAGATTAAGGACATTCCCCCTAATTCCACTTAAGCACAATACCATTACCATGTCTTAGAAAATTAGCATTAATTTAATATTACCTAATATGAAGTTCAGATGCAAATTTCTCTATTTGCCCTCAATGTGTCATTCATAGCTTCCTTTTTCTCTTCAGGATCTAATCAAGATTCAGGCACTGCATTTGGATTGTCACTGTTTAGAAAATGATAATTGCAAGGATGCTATACCTTTTTTGTCTCTTTCATGTATGCTAAAACACTCAACGCTGTTGTTTTCCATAAGGTTGAGGATTTTTTTTGTTTTTTAAGTCTAGGCAGTTGTCTTAGGTTCTACATTCTGGATTTATCTGTTTCCTCATTAGAGTCATTAATAAATATTTTGCCAAAAATAATCCACTGGTGACACATCAAGAAATACACAAACTCTCACTACTGGTGCTCACTCTGTTGAAGGCAGGGATTGCTAGTTCTCTTTATCGTAAAGGTACATTTTCCTTTTTGTAAGTCGTCTTACAAATATCTAAGTGACATTTTGTAACCACAAGAATATTCTCCTCCCCAACAACCTTTCATCCAATTGTCTTTAAATTAATGCTTTTCCTAAACAAAGAACTACCACAAAATCATTCTAGACTACCTGTGAAATTTTGGTTTTAAGTCAATCACTATTATATATATTGTCTATTAGTCATTAAGAAATATTCCATAATAATAGTTAATACTGTGGAAAGATTCCATTAGGTTTCTAAACTCATTTTAAAGCAAATGTAGCACTGGATTTACTATTTAAAATTTAAATAGACAAGACCAATTGAAATGCTCTGAATTAATCTTGAGATAGTGTAATATATAACAACCTTAAATATAGATGTTTTATTTTTACTTAAATATATTTTTATTGATTTCAGAGAGGAAGGAAGAGGGAGAGAGAAATAGGAACATCAATGATGAGACAATCACTGATAGGCTGCCTCCTGCACGTCCTACATTGGGATCAAGCCTGCAACCAGGCACGTGCCCTGGCAGGGAATCGAACCGTGACCTCCTGGTTCATAGGTTGACACTCAACTACTGAGCCACGCCTAGATGTTTTATTTTTAATTATTTATTCTGTTAGGAGTAACCAAAGCTGAAAGAACATTCTATTTCAGCTTTCATGAACTACATCTTGATATATCTTAAATTTAAACATGTTAATGTTGGCTAGAAATTAAGAGCCAGGAGACCACATTAATGGTTATCAATTTCCCCCCTGCTCTAGTTTGTTAATATTTATTATACTGTAGAAGGGGTAGTGTTAAAATCTCCACCAGCAAATTTTAAAGAGGGAAAGTGAGCATGAAATATAGTGAAAAAGTTAGGAAATATTTTATCTGTATGCTGCAGACCCATAATACAATGGCAGATGGAACTCTAGAACCAAGATCTGCCACATGGCAAGTCTTTTAAAACCCGGGCTCGGCCAGAGAGAAAGTCCACTTGCTTTGTGAAGGCAGCCTACGCCAGCTTTAATCCACCTGCCCCTGGAAGTCCAGAGAACTATTCCTAGCTGAATCCAAACCTACATTTTTCACTACTGCTCAGAGTTCTATCTATTTCTTATAGTTCACCACTTTCCTACATAGTACATGGCTCCATTTAACTTTATATACGAACACCCATAGTTCTTTAATTTTTTTCTTCTTTCCAAGTTGCATGGAGAGTCACAGAATTAAAAGTTAGAACTACAACCCTGGCCGGTGTGACCCAGTGGTTGGAGTGTTGTCCTGTACACCAAAAGGTGGCAAGTTCGATTCCCATTCAGGGCACCAGACTGTGGGTTCAATCCCCAACTGGGGTGTAAGAGGGAAGCAACAGATCAATTTTTCTCTCTCACATTGCTATTACTCTCTCTCCCTCTCTCATCTCCCCCTCCCTCTCTCTACAAAAAAAAAAAAAAATCAATTAAAAAATTTGAAAATTTTTTAAAGTTAGAACTACTTCATTTAATTAAAAACAAAATATTTACCACAATTCCTTCTGAAGTCATGGATATGTGTAGAAACCACAAATGAAAATGAGTTGCCTGATATCCACAACTAATAAATTATACCATATAGCAAAAGCAATAAATTATGCTCATATATAGTTTGCATATTCAAATTACATCAGGACAAATAGCTGTTTGACTCTTTCAATTCATTCATTAACAGCAATCACTAGCTTAGACATTCAAAAGAAAATCCTGTAACAACTCCTAAGGATGCATGCTGAAGTGCTTAGAGGTGAAGTGTTATGGCCGTTACTTACTCTCAAATGGTACAGCAAATATAAGTAAAAATAAAACAAGTGTTTCCTATGTATATACATGTATGCATACGTGTGCACACATACAGACATAGAGGTAGAGCAAACACAGATAATGTTAAAAACTGGTGAATCTAGGCAAAGGATATATGGGTACCTTTTTTTCAATGTTGTTTCAACTTCTCCATAAGTTTGAAATTTTCCAAAATTAAAAACCCAGAAGAAATATGATTTAACTTTCCTTTCAAATGCAGAATAGATAAATATGTCAGTAAGTTATAACTAAGAACTGCCTAATTTTGATATGGCAAAGTAGAGTTTAGGCAGTTCCTAATATACTCTAAATTAGACTAAAGAATGGAAAAGAAACCAAAGGCATTAAAAGTTCTATTTCTGATTTTCTTTCACTTGTGCCATTGTGTCATAAAAAACCTTATTCAATGGTATGAAATATATAAACACTCACTATCTTCTCCTGGACAGGGCATTCCAGGACGTTCTGGTACACAAGGAAATACTGGAAAAAATAATACAACAAATTTAAAACATACAAATTACATAGAATTTTAAATTCAGATATCAAAAAAATTGACCCAAATTTCAACCTGACCCTCTCTTGACAGATACTTAGCATATAGTCAGCATTATTTGTTTAAAGAGATCTACTTTACCAAGGGTATCTAAAAATAGTTTCGATGAAAGTGACCATCCATAAATAATGCATTAGAAGCTCAAATTATTCATTCCAGTCCTTGTTACATCATTGATTTTTTTTTTTTGGCTTTAGATAAATCATTAACTACTATTCCTTTTCAGTGGTTCTTAACCTTCTTAATGCCGCAACCCTTTAATACAGTTCCTCGTGTTGTGGTGACCTCCAACCATAAAATTATTTTCATTGCTACCTCATAACTGTAATTTTGCTACTGCTATGAATCATAATGTAAATATCTGATATGCAGGATGTATTTTCAGGGGTCGCGACCCACAGGTTGAGACTGTCACTGCCATATGACTAATACCCAGGGACAAGCTTCCTGTCACCTGTTTCTTTAAAAGAGGAAGTGAGAGAACCAAGATGGCGGCATAGGTACACACCGGAAATTGCAGCCTCGCACAACCACTTCAAGAAAACAACTAAAAGACAAAACGGACATCATCCAGAACCACAGGAAGGTTGGCCGAGTAGAAATTCTAAAACTAGAAGGAAAGAGAAAAGCACACTGAGACTCAGAGGAGGTGTGGAAGTAAATTGCAGAGGTACGGAGGCACACACGGAAAGGGCTGGCAACTGAGGACGTGGTTGTCTTTTTCAATAGGGAGGGAGACACAATCTCCCGACTGCTCTGAACACTAGTTCCGGGTGAGTCTCTGGGGACCCAGACTCATACGGGAAGAAACTGGACTGTCTGGCATCGGTCGGAACTGGAGGGAGGCTTTCACTCAGAGGTGCTTGCAGCGATTACCGCGGAACAGTGAGACCCAGGTCCTCTTAGGGCAGGGCTGAGGATCAGCCATAGCTGTTTGCTCCGCCCTGTTGATTCCCTGAGACCCCGCCCCACCCAAGCTGTGCACAGAGGCTTTTGCATATGAATGCCCTAGCCCTTTGCAATCTAAAATTACCTAACAAACTGCAGCTGGGCCAGACAGACCCAGAACATCCAAAAGAAGGCCCAAGGCCCCACAGCAGCTTGCATTGCTTCACAGCTGGGCCTCATCTGGGCACCTCCAAACCCCAAACAAAGAAGAGGAATCTGCAGATCTCTCCATAGCTCCTGGTGGGTAGCCTCAGGAAGAGGCTAAATTAGCACCTCCTTAGATATCCAAGAACCAGTGTACCCAGTGGTCAGAGTGGGACCATCCAGATTACAACTCCTCAGATCCATAAGGGACACACTCAGGGGGCAGACTCAGTGAGCACCAAAGCCCCACTGAAGCAAGTCTTGCCCCAGAAGGGTGTCTCCAGCACAGAAGTTCTCCCACTGCAGACACAACTGATTCTCACAGCCAATTGGCCTGGAAGTCAATTCCTCCCAGTGATACCTACAACAATCAAGGCTTAACTACAACAAGACTGTGCACAAAGCCCACAAGGGGGTGCACCAAGAGTGTCCACCTCAGGTAATTGGGGAGGCTGAGCCACTGGGCCCTATAGGACACCTAGCACAGAAAGCCACTCTATCAACACAGGGAAGCATAAAAAATGCGGAGACAAAGAAACAGGTCACACATGACAGAAATGGAGGAAAGCAAACTACTGGATATAGAGTTCAAAACCACGGTTATAAGGTTTTTCAAGAATTTTCTAGAAACCGCCGATAAATTTAGTGAGACCCTCAATAAATCTAGTGAGACCCTCAAGGATATGAAAAAGGACCAACTAGAAATTAAGCATACACTGACTGAAATAAAGAGTATTATACAGAGTTCCAACAGCAGACTAGAGGATCACAAGAATCAAGTCAAAGATTTGAAATACGAAGAAGCAAAAAACGCCCAACCGGAAAAACAAAAAGAAAAAAGAATCCAAAAATATGAAGATAGTGTAAGGAGCTTCTGGGACAGCTTCAAGCGTACCAACATTCGAATTATAGGGGTGCCAGAAGAAGAGAGAGAGCAAGATATTGAAAACCTATTTGAAGAAATTATGACAGAAAACTTCCCCTATCTGGTGAAAGAAATAGACTTACAAGTCCGGGAAGCATAGAGAACCCCAAACAAAAGGAATCCAAAGAGGACCACACCAAGACACATCATAATTAAAATGCCAAGAGCAAAAGACAAAGAGAGAATCTTAAAAGCAGCAAGAGAAAAACAGTCAGTTACCTACAAGGGAGTACCCATATGACTGTCAGCTGATTTCTCAACAGAAACTATGCAGGCCAGAAGGGAGTGGCAAGAAATATTCAAAGTGATGAATAGCAAGAACCTACAACCAAAATTACTTTACCCAGAAAAGCTATCATTCAGAATTGAAGGTCAGATAAAGAGCTTCACAGATAAGAAAAAGCTAAAGGAGTTCATCACCACCAAACCAGTATTATACGAAATGCTGAAAGGTATCCTTTAAGAAGATAAATAATTTGATGAACAGAATAAACTGGTGAATATAATAGAATCAGGGACATAGAAAGGGAGTGGAGTGACAACTCTCAGGGGGGAAGGGGTGTGGGGGGTGTGGGAAGAGACTGGACAAAAATCATACACCTATGGATGAGGACAATGGCAGGGGTAAGGGCAGAAGGCGGGGTGGGAACCTGGTGGAGGGGAGCTACGGGGGGGGAAAAGAGGAACTGTAATAATCTGAACAATAAAGATTTAATTAAAAAAATAAATAAAAATAAATAAAAGAGGAAGTGAAAGTAGTTCCATTGAGGTTTCCATGTAATCATTTTGTCAAATTCTTCCTTCACCTGAGAGCCTGCTCAAGAGACTCATAGAAAGAAGTGTAGCTACTGAAGTACTCTGGACTTAAGAGCAGTCCTATTTGAGCTTATAAATGTAAATATATAGTTTCAGTAAACTTACACACCGAGAGGGGAAGGAAGAAACACCTCCCTTGGTCAACTGGCCAAAAAAAACTGAGTCATCCCTGGCAATCAATGAGATGATACATCTCCTCATAGAATGGCATTCTGGATGAAAAAGTCATTCTGAACATAGTTGGGGCCTGAGCTGGGTCCTCAACACTGCCATTCTTTTGCTCATTCCTGTGGTTACACCAAGTGTTACCACACATTACATGCCAACAACCCCATTCAAACCTCAATCACTCTCAGCAGAGAACTGGGTGTAGTACTTGATCGAGAAAAATGAAGTCATCTCCTGTCGTGCTATGAGTATGTCTGTCCTGTTCTCTAACTTGGCCACTCTATCCCTACTTCCTTCTCTCATCTCTGGGTATTATCCCACCAGTCTTCCTTAGTTCCATTTTTATTTTGGCTTTCCTTCCACTAGCCCTTCTCAGGAAAGCAAAGACATATTGGAGTCTTCCTCTCAAAAATCTCTCTCGCACTCAAGAAGCATCGAAAATCTCTCAGAGAGGTAGGTGTCCTGCAGGACTTTGCATCCAGGCTCTCTCCCATGCTCCACATCCCGTCTCTCTGTGCAACTACAGCAAAATTACTTCTTTGAGTTTCAATTTTCTCCTATATAAAAAGAGGGCTATTATCTACATTGCAAATATGATGGGAAAACTAAAGACCATATATTTAAAATGACTCATAGTATGCCTGATCCATTATAGGTGTGGTTTTTATTATTGCACTTTGATCAAAAGCCATAAATGGATTTAACTATTGTTAAAGGCATCATTATAAATATATTTTTAAAATCAATTTTTCACGAGTCCTCCAGCTGTGCAGTCAGTGCCGTGGTTCTCCACCAGGTCTGAGATCTGAGCCCCAGCCAACCCGGTCACAGCAGAGATCTAAGGAGCCATGATTGCTCCCTGGCTTCAAAGAGCCTCTGGTCCAGAAGACAACAGGCTGTCAGACAAATACAGAAAAGAGTGATATTGGGGGACAGGCTTACTGAAGAGGGGACCTGAGGGCCGATGGTCATAAGGGAGATCATTGGGGGTGTGGTGAAGTGAAGGGGTGCCATGAGGGCAGTAATGGGGCCATGGAGACACGCTGTAGTGAGGGAAGGCACTTGCTACCTGGGAAGGGTTCTCTGTGGAAGAACCCCGACCTGCAGATAAACGTCACCTCGTGGCAGCTGCCATGATGTGACAGGCTACCTGTGATAGGCCCATGTTTATTTCTCTCCTGGGCTCCAAGATCCCAAAAGAGCCCATGCATCTGCCTTCAGTGCCTCTCGGGCTTGAAAATGTCTAACTCCCAGGCCTGGCCTCTTTCCCTCTAATCACATTCTTAGATTTAATCTTCTCCACCCAGTTGCTGAGCTAATCCCTTCTTTCCCAGAGGAGACCCACCCTTTTCTTCCTGGGAGGGACAGAAGATGGAATCTTTCCCTTTGCCCTCTAGGATGGCACTGTCTGCCCTCCAGCTTGTCTCCTTTTAAATCCTAAATTCACCCAGAGAAGAGTCTTTCCATCTCTCTTCTCTCCAAGGAAAAACACCCACCTGTTACATGGCCCTTGGTCATTCACAGGGTTCCATTAGGATGGCTCAGCCCCACTCTGCCCAGCCCTGACCCCTGCTTCTCATGGTGATTCTGTCCTGACCTCCCTCAGAGAAGCCTTGTGGTCTGAAGGGCCCCCACATCCTCAAACAACCCCTGCTTGCTCCCGGAAGGAGCTCATGATCTGCTGTGTCACCTGACATAAAACCTAAGTGACAACTAGATGCATGGACACATTTCTTTTTTTCTTGGGGATGCCACCATTGTCTTCCCGCCTGTTTTAACTGTGGATAATTAGGATTACTCTAATGTGGCCAAAGATCCCAGCAACCATGCTCTCAGGTTGTGTTTTTTTCCTTTCTAACGTCAGGAACCCATTACACCCTTCACTCTCTCACACCAAGTGGGATAACTATGGGCCATCCGTCCACC